CAAGTGCCTTACTGGTAGTAACAAGAAGCTAGTAATTACAATTCTAACTAAAATCCTAACTTGTTACTACTAGTAAGGCACTTGTTTCTAGTAGTGATGCCAGGAGCCCCTAGTAGCGTGTGTTTGCAGGTGAGAGGAACAGAACGGTCCATTGCTGATCTTAGACGACATTTGGAGACGCTTATAGGCGTGACGAATCAGTTTCGATTTTTGAGAAAGGAAGTCTAGAGTCGATAAGTTAGAGGCCATCGCTGTTTATTTAAAGAAAAAGACAAAACACTTGAAAGTCTATCCTTTTTTTCAGACCTGGAGTTCACTTCTTGGAGAAGATGTGAGCAGCATCACACCAGCAGTTTGCTGCCTCATCGAACGGTTCGTTGGTGGAGGCCATCGGCGCTGCGTCTCTGCCGGCGCTTGGGCAGAGCTCATGCGCACGCGCACGGTTATAGACTCTTCAGAGGCGGCCATTCAACACATCCAGGACGGATGTCGACTTTTGATGGAAAAACACAATATGTTGATTTCAGTCACCCAGTCAGAAGTAAGAACCCCGATAGCTACCACAATCTCGGGAACAACAAAGCATTTGCAATCCCTACCCTATATCCATTTAGGTTTCGCGATAAACTCCATGTAAAGGGGTGGCAAGTCAAGTTTTGGGCTTGAGTAGGGTCGGTGAAAGCCAAACATGCACCCACGAAACATCATGTGAAAGGGAAAGACGTTTTTATCTTGATAGAAATTCCGGATGGTTTTTGACGATCAAGTGGCTCTCCTGCAACGCCAAGCGATTCCGCTGTATTTCCCTTATAGAAGTGTCCGTCAACTTCATCTTTGAAGTCCATATCGGTGTTAGGTTGGAGGCCATCACTATTAGGTTGAAGTGTCCTTCAGCTTCAATTTTGTTGCATGCGCTTTCAGGGCGATCCACTGTTGGTTTTTGAAGTCTATATCAGGCAGCCCACCCTGACCAATCACTAGAAATAGGCACCAGCACGTGAGAAGTGAAGAAAAGGAAACTATACGGGCTATACGCTTAACGTTTGGAAGTTTGAATACCGAAAGAAGTGGGACAATGTCCTTTGGTAGTGTTGTTGCAACATGACATTCTAAAAGGTCTAAACAAAAAAGAGGTCTAAAGGTCTAAAATTCAAGAAACTAAGAATCACATAGGAAAAGAAATATATTCAAAGGGGTCTAAAGTTCTAAAGATGTCTAAAGGTTTTAACACATCAAATGAATCATAAAAGCAAAAAGGTGTGGTTTTAACCTTGTAACAAGAAGCTAGTAGAGACAAGTGCCTCGCTACTAGTAACAAGTGCCTTACTAGTAGTAACAAGAAGCTATTAGAAACAAGTGC